AAGAAGTTGGATCAATGTCAGAGACCATTTGCGATAAAACCCTTATTTTATGAATCCACGTGTCAACATTTCATTGGATTTGTGGGTCCCACATACAAACTAACAAAATAGTTGACGGAATCTTAATGGAATGACCAAATTGATGTGCGATAAGGAATGTCAGGGACGACATTGATTGATTTTGAAAGTGAGGGACCAAAATGATGTGTTTGATCAATAAACCCTTATAGAATTATAGCCACAATTTTAAGTTTATGATAATTATAACAAAAAATTGATATAAAAATACTAATATACCCTTAAAATAGAAATTGAGAGATAAGGAAAGTGTTTGAATACAGATCCAAAAAAACTCAAACAGTAAGGATTTTCTCAGTTTGATTTGTGTGTGATAAACAAAACTTGTTATCTGATTAAGATGGTGGGGAGGTTTAATTTGTTTATCCAGACATATTGCCCTTGTTTTTGAGGCAGAATGTCCCAAAGAAAGGATTGAACATCATGGGTATCCTAGTTTTCTGGACATGGTTTCATCTCCTTGTTTTGTGTTTGCCTAGTGAGAGGGTTATGTTTGTGCTAGCAGCATTTGCATTGACATTGCTCAAGCACATCCAGTTCACATCGAGTCATTTCTTCGGCAACTCTTATTGAACATCATTTGTTTCTACGAATGCCTCGTGGACAACTGAGGACGATTGCTCCAATTGTGAACACTCATGTCTGATACCTCTTAGAGAGCATGTCTATATAGAGTTACTGCGGCACCAACCCACCACACACATTGATGTTGGGAGAGATGTAGAGAAAATGTATAAAGAAAGGTGTACAAAACAAAATCTAAAAACCAAAATTTAAAATTATATATTTTGAATTGTTTTCACTTTCGAGATTTTGCTTTCATTCCTTCTTCTTTGTTTCATCCTGTCACTCCCTCGACCTTTCTTCATCCCTAATCTCCTCAACACATTTTGCCCATATCTCAAACAAAATATAAAAACTAATAGCATTAATACTCTTTTTTTTTTTTTTTCCTCTCAAGAGTCGAGATAGAATATCTAGCTAGATCAATGTTTTTGTCAACAAAGATACCTTGCACCCAAACTAGGCCAGCTGCATTTAAGTTTTTAGATATACTTCAAATGGCGTGACCGAGAGGTTGGACTTTCACCATTAAACGCCAGTACACAAACTTGTTTGCAATAGGAAGACGATGACAATACATGCATGCTCATTATTTCCTCCATATTTATACAATTCAAGGTAGTGTTATTCAGAAACCTATTTTTACTTCTCACACACTATCTCAATTTTCAATCGTCGGAAAGAATGAATTGATAAAGATTAAAAAAAAAAAAAAAACAAAACAAAACAAAAAAAAACACTATCCTTGTTCAATCCTTTGGCGAACTTGACTTTTCACATTACAAAAAAATACAAACCCTAATGACTTTACTGAGGTCGTTCGATGATCTTTTTGTGGCCGCAGGTATCCTTAACTCGAAAAAATAAATTCAACCTATTATATATGGAAAAGGATATCGCCGGATTCTTTTCCTAGGGATCCTAAGGATCCCGTGATTGTGACCGTTCATCATACATTATGAGATCTGTTTTGGTTAGGTACTATTTATATTTAATTTTAAATTTTAAACTTTGAAATGATTTCTGACCGCACAATGTATGATGAATGGTCATGATCACGGGATCACTAGAATCCCTAGGAAAAGGATCCGGCAAGGATCCTTTTCCATTATATATGTACATGATGGTTATATATACACGCACAATGCATAGACCAACGTCGCCTTACCCGGCTTAGACCACCTGTACCTTCTGAAATGTGATTTCATGCAGCTAGGGTTAGCACCTATGTAAATTAAAATAAAGAGTAAATTACATTTTACTACCTCAATTTTATGTCACATAACAAACTCATACATCATATTTTAAACATTGTAATGTCATACATTAAATTATGAATTCGTTGTCATATCAAACTTCCGTTAAAAAATCTGTCAAGTGAGCCATTTATCCACACTAACACTCAGTCTGACATTTAACGAAGTCGTAAGTTAATTGATGTAAACATTGAAATGATCAGAAGATGAGATATAAGTTTGTTATGTGGTCGAAAATGAGGTGGTAAAATGTAATTTACTCTAAAAGAAAGTTCCTAAGTCCAAATTTCAAAAAATAGAATTTAATTTCAAATATATATAATGAGGTGTATGACCGACACCCAAGTGCGCGCGAATGCGATTGCATCTGTCTATTCATACGATAGGAATGGCCAAACTTAACCTAAGGAAGAGGTAACACTAGTTCACTAGTCCTATCCAAGGAAGGAAATGAACACCCCACACCCAAAAAACCATATCCTTTTTAAGTTGAAAAGGTCTTGGGCCCATTTTTGTCCCCATAGTTTCTTTTTTTTTTTTTTTTTATACAAGAAAATTTTGTTTGTGAAAGCATCACATGTGGTGGTTCTGGCATCATGAGCCCAAATCACGTGTCGAATAGCAAACTTCATGTTCAAACTTTCGCTTATATCAAAATCCTTCCGAGTTTTCTTGATTTCTTACCTTTACCCATAACCTCATATATGATTGGAATAGAAATTTGCAAGTTTACAAAAATATTAGATTGAAAATTTTTAAATGAATTTAAGCACAAAAATACGAACCAATGGATTTAGTATTGACTAATTCAACTTCAAGTAATCATTTTGCAAATCCCTATCAATTCATGTATCTATCATTTCAAATTTATTCATCGAATCTTTTACAATGCATTTCTAACTAATTTAACATAGATTTATTGGTACTTACAAATTTCTCTTCCAAACATGGCTTAAGATAATGATTTCAAATCTATAGTAGCCTATTTGAATCTTGAAATCTATAGCTCGTTTATTAATTCGTAATCAAAATAAGGGGAATTGAATTGAGGAGGAATTATAATGGGTGGAGTCAGAATCAGATTCTTATTCCCAAAAAAAAAAAAAAAAAATACAGAATCAGATTCTTATTAAAGCTGTTTACCAAAATAACATTAACCTATATAAACTGTTTACTAGTTCACATCAATCGGAATAGAAACTAATGTGATAACTAAATACCCTTGTTATACTAAATTATTTTTATATGCTGATTAATAGAAAGTGAAATGATATAAAATAAAATTAAAAAGCAAACTAACCAATTATCAAACCCCAACCTAATTGTTCCTCTCCTTCTCCGTCTCTTTCATCTTTCAATAGTTTGAAATTGAAGGTGGGTTTGTGGTCGATGGGCAGTGGTAATGGTGGTGATGTCGAAGGATTAGTCTACAGGGCTGTGATTTCTTGTTGGTTTGGTGTGGCGGCTTGGTTTTTGACATTTTGTTCATAAAATAACTACTAAAATTGCAGCAAGGTTCTTCTTGGTTTGTCATTTGATCTACTTTTGTGGTTTAATTGTTGTGGAAGATGATGGTGGCCTGGTCTGTGTCCTGGGAAAGGCAAGGGATGTGCGACAGTGGTGAGGGAGAAGGAGAGGGATCACTGGGGACGAGAGCTTGGGTTTTTTTGGAATTTCAACTTTTATGCGGGGGCCCAATGGGTAAGAAAAATGGATTCCTCACTCCCTCAATCCTTCGGAATCCAAATACCATCCAATTGTTAGGAGTCCAATTCCTCCAAATTTTGGAATTGGATTCCAAAATTCGTGTAGGACCCGTTAAATTTTAATTCCCTCAGATTTGGTAAACACCAGAGTATTCCGTAATCAAAATTCAATTCCCTTTCTTGATACCGATTATCCTTACGTAAACATGCCCTCAATGTAAAGGAAGCCACTTCATTCCTCCATCTTTTATGTGATCCTCATTAACTTGGTTTTGGAATGACCCTCAAGTTAATGAATCATGACAACTTGACGAATTAATTATACACATAAATTAATAATTTTATATATACAGTTGGTACCACAAAGAAAGGGAACAAGATTATCTTCGAATTCTGTTTGTTCGGAGCCTCTAGATCAATTGATTATGGCTGTTCACCACATATCTAATGATGTAAAAACAAATCACGTTATCGGAGAGTGTCAACGTAACCAAAGGATCTCCAAATCCATGGATGCCATGTCCCATCCTTTGCCTCTACGATTCTGCCTAACCAAACGTAGTCTCTGACCTATGTGCTCATCATGCATCGAAGCGCGATGTTACTGATGAAGGCAGATCGAAACCTCTATTTTGTCATGAACTTGTTCCATGCACCAATCTTGTTTACGACAACATGCCTCTTCTGTCGCGAACTCATTTTATTCTGGAGAAGAGAAGATAGAGAAAGACGAAAAGTTAAAAGGCAGTGAACAAGAGGTTGTGGAATTGCAACCATTTGATTTGTAGTGAACGGACATGATCAATTAATCCTGAGGCTATACACAAACAAGATCTAGAAAGGATCCTTGCGCCAAAGAAAGGGGCAACAGTCTCTCTCTCTCTCTCTCATTGTCTAGCACGTAGATTAACACTTAGGTTTGTCTCATTACCCACAAAGCCTCCATAAAGCCATTGGCTTGGTATTGGGATTCAATATCCAGTTCCAAACTCTCTTGAGAGTTGTGGAGTTATAGTATTGACATGGAGATCAATTATGCTCTGGCTTTGCTCTTAGTCCTCATTCTCAACTTGGGTAGTTTGCTCACTTCTCTTGCTAACTCCTATTACCCACCACCAACACACCCTCTAGTTCCCTACTTTCCACCCAAACATCGTCCCTACGTAATGCCACCCTCCTACCCTAAACCTCCAAAGAAGCCACCATCGCATGTCAAACCACCTCCACATGTGAAACCACCTCATCCAAAACATCATCCCCATGTTCCCAAACCGCCCTCAAAGCCACCTCATGCACAACCTCCTCCTCATGTACCCACAAAACCACCTTATGTTAAACCGCCCATTATAAAGCCACCTCCCTATCCAAAACCTCCTGTTGCCAAACCACCACCTCCTTATCCCAAACCCCCAATTATACTGCCTCCACCATCTACCCCTAAACCACCACCTACACCACCTGTTATATTGCCAAGCCCACCATCAACACCAGAACCAGTTGTCCCAGTGAAGCCTCTTCCACCTACTGAAACATCATGCCCTCCAACTCCATCACCAAAGGTAGTACCACCCCCACCACCACCAAGTCTAACCCCAGTTGTCCCAATGAAGCCTCCTCCACCACCACCACCATCTCTACCAAAGGTAGTACCACCCCTACCACCATCACCATCTCCACCGAAGGAGGTACCACCCCTACCACCACCATCATGTCCACCAAAGGTAGTACCACCGCCATCGCCACCACCATCTCTAACCCCAGTTGTCCCAATGAAGCCTCCTCCACCACCACCACCATCTTCACCACCTCTACCACCACCACCATGTCCATCAAAGGTAGTACCACCCCCACCGCCACCACTATCTCCAACCCCAGTTGTCCCAATGAAGCATCCTCCCACCACCATCTCCACCAAAGGTAGTACCACCCCTACCACCACCACCATCTCCAACCCCAGTTGTCCCAATGAAGCCTCCTCCACCACCACCACCATGTCCACCACGCCTACCACCACCACCATGTCCACCAAAGGTAGTACCACCCCCACTGCCACCACCATCTCCAATCCCAGTTGTCCCAATGAAGCCTCCTCCACCACTACCACCACCACCACCATCTCCACCAAAGGTAGTACCACCCCTACCACTACCACCATCTCCAACCCCAGTTATCCCAATGAAGCCTCCTTCACCACCACCACCATCTCCAACCCCAGTTGTCCCAGTGAAGCCTCTTCCACCACCACCACTATCTCTACCACCATCTCCAACCCCAGTTATCCCAGTGAAGCCTCCTCTACCACCACAACCATCTCCACCAAAGGTAGCACCACCCCCACCCCCATCCCTACCACCATCTCCAACCCCAGTTGTCCCAGTGAAGCCTCCTCTACCACCACCACCATCTTCACCAAAGGTAGTACCACCCCCACCCTCATCCCCACCATTATCTCCAACCCCACCCCCATCCTCATCCTCAGCACCACCACCATCTCCATCCCCATCCCCATCCCCACCAGTGAAGCCTTCTCCATCACCATCACCATCCTCATCCCCATCACCATCACCACCAGTGAAGCCTCCTCTATCACCATCACCATCCTCATCCCCATCACCATCACCACCACCACCAGTGAAGCCTCCTCCATCACCATCACCATCCCCACCACCACCATCATCCCCATCCCCATCCCCACTAGTGAAGCCTCCTTTATCACCATCACCATCCCCATCCCCATCACCATCACCACCACCACCAGTGAAGCTTCCTTCACCCCCATTCCTACCACCATCTCCAACCCCAGTTGTCCCAGTGAAGCCTCCTTCACCACCACCATCATCTTCACCAAAGGTAGTACCACTCCCACCCTCATCCCTACCACCATCTCCAACCGTACCCCCATCCCTATCCTTACCACCATCACCATCCCCATCTCTATCTCCACCAGTGAAGCCTTCTTCATCACCATCACCATCCCCATCCCCATCCCCATCACCACCACCACCAGTGAAGCTTCCTCCATCACCATTACCATCCTCACCCTCATCCCATCCCCACCACCACCACCATCCCTATCCCCATCCTCACCAGTGAAACCTCCTCCATCACCATCACCATCCTCATCCCCATCACCATCACCACCACCACCAGTGAAGCCTCCTCCACCCCCATCCTTACCACCATCTCTAACCCCAGTTGCCCAGTGAAGCCTCCTCCACCACCACCACCACCATCATCTCCACCAAAGGTAGTACCACCCCCACCACCACCATCTCCACCGAAGGTAGTGCCACCACTACCACCACCACCATATCCACCAAAGGTAGTACCACGCTTACCGCCACCACCATCTCCAACCCTAGTTGTCCCAATGAAGCCTTCTCCACCACCACCATCTCCACCAAAGGTAGTACCACCCCCACCACCCCCACCATATCAAGGCTAAGCTTCTCAATGTTAACCCCATCATCCCCATTGCTCTTCAGGGGCTCATTAATTGTTGGAAGACTCCTCCCTCTGGATTCCAATGTCTTGCATAAATGATCATCATATCATATTCCTAAATCACAGTTAGTAGTTGTTAATCATGTCGTCATTTAGTAATAAGTGGCCTCAGCCAGCTTATAATAAAGCATGTCAAAGCTTGGAAGTGTGTACCAAATCGATATACTATGGTAATTTAGCCATGTTATTTTCTTAAACCTTGGAAGTATATATAATAACTTGAGTTTAAACAATACCTTGATTAATTCATTGTTAGTTATTCTCCTTTAGAGGACTTACATGGAACACCGTTACCGTGTCAGTGACATCGTGGTCTTCATTTGTAATGAAGAATTATATGACATTACATTACTGAATCGAGACACTAGTGTAAATATTTTAAATTGATGATCGGATTTGTTCACTGTTCTAAAGTCGAAGAATAATTTTATAAAATCAAATCTGAGATAAAATAACCGCTAATTGTGATTTTTCGTTTCTAACCACCGAAGAATTTCATCCCATTACCTAATATTGGTGATTTTTGGTGTGCGATATTGGAGTATAACTACTAGAAATTTTGACTTTGCTGACAAAATTTATTTTTTGGTAAGGATCCTTTCCTAATGAAAAAATTTGTCTGCCATTTTGTCGAGCAAAGCATGTCGCGTAAGAGTTTTCCCGACAAATTTTGATACATCATCGGCTAAGGTTCAACTTTTCCTAACAAACTTTTTTTTGTCAGCATTTTCATTGTTCTCGACAAATATTTTCATTGGTACAGGGGTTTTAAGCTGACAAATAATATTATTCAGCCAACAAAATGTGTTTGCCACCGTGAATATTTCGTCGGCATAATCTTCTCTCTCTCGACAAAATTTGTTTCGTCGGGAAAGACATTTAATTTATAAAAAAATAAAAAATAAATGCTTTAATGCTCAGCTACTATATATGCATATCAAAATATAATACACAAAATTGTTAAGAAATAATACTTTATTGATTGATAAATTCCGAATGTACATCTAGAGGCTGAATGTGAATATGTACAAATCCTGGAATTCTTAAAACTATACAAATCCTGTACAAATGGAAAAGAATGTCCAAGCAATCTGAAACATAGGAAAAATAAGAATTGCATCGAAAAAGGATAACCTTTCATTCAATCGAGCCATTTGCACAAGTAGAAGTAGAAAGTATTAATATATAAAAACTAAATAAAACTAGCACCATAGCATGCAATTGCAGCAATTTGTAAACCAAGCAATCTAAACTTAATTTGGCAATAACTGATACCCAAAATCTAGCTGTATATAGAAATAAAAGGAGCATCAAGTATGTAAACGAGCTACTCATAATTGCTAGACATGGCCAAATATAGCAGGTTAGATCTGCCAAGAAAAACAAAGGAATTAGAAACATAAGTGTCGATGCAAAATTTCTGCCATCCTTAATCTTGACGAAAATGCACCTACAAAACAATCAACACCTTTGGTCAAAGACCTAAGCCTCATGCGCCCACGAGGTGGGTGGGGGGGGGGGCGAGGGATTAGCCCAATGGATCTCCGATGCCTAAATCAGTTTCTTTGAGAGAATAAAGTGTATAGGGCTTTTTTAGGGGTAGCAAAAGCTCTGGAATTGGGTAGAATATGGGGTATTTATAGGGATAAGCCGACCATAGTGTTAAGGTTTTACCCTACACATGGAAGCCTCCTATTAGCCAAGGTGTTTATGGAGAAATAAAAATATTCTCAAAATATTCTCAAGATATTAAATAGGAAATAATATCTTGAGATAAGGAGTAATTATCCCTAATTTATTTAAATTAGGATTACTTACTTGATTGGAGTCAATCTTCAATTGGGAATGTATTAAAGATAGGTTTTAGGTAATTAATTCTTATTTTTAATTCCTTGCTATGGGAAGGTGAGCTGTGGGAAGTTGTATTCAGCTGTTGAGACCTTCAGGGGTGTGAGCTGCGTTGGGAGTATTTGAGAAGCATGCCTATTTATTGAGGGCAATCTTGTCTTTCTTGAACAAAAGTCCACATGTTGCCTCTAGAATTTTTGGGATTGTTTTAGGCTCTACAAATGCCCTCACACCTATTGGGCTGCACGTAGAAAATGATAGTAGGTGTAAGAATCCCAAGCTACTTAGGCTTGTAGAATTGTTTCCCAATTTGAACTTAATCTTCGTTCTTGATTTGGAGATAGACTTCTTCTAGGAAAAGGAAACCAATTGCCCCAATACCTATTAAATTCTGCCTTAAGCAAGGGATTAAATAAATTTGGAGAGCAATCATTATTCCAACAAGGAAAAGAAGCCTGAAGAATTTTTTCTTCCCCTTCCCTTAGTGTTCTCCTTCTCTTGTCCTTGCAAATAGTTGTCCCTCGTTGTTGTTCTTCTCCATTGCCACACCAAGGTAAGAAAATTTGAATTTCTTCTTCTTGAATTTTTCGGGAGTCTTACAACTGCTTTGTGGTGCGGCACTGGTCAGCTTGGCTTGGCCAAGGTGCTGGCGATGCTGGGGCGCAGTAAGGTAGGCTTGGGCTGACCTTCAGGGCTATTGGGCAAGGGCCTGTGTAGGTAGATGGCGAGGGAGATAGAGACCGGCACATGCTAGATCTCTCTCGTTAGTGCGCTGATCATGATGTTGTTAAGTGTGCTAAGGAGAGAGTGAGAGACCAGGTCCTGGGCCATCGGGCCTGGTCGAGAGAAATGGTGAGGGTCGTGGGGCCTAGCGCAAGGGCGCTAGGCTTGCAGTCTTTCTATGTTTTTTTTTTATTATTTTTTTATTTTTAGTTTTTGCAAGCTGCTTTCTAAATATTTTTCCTCGTACTTTTTGCAAAGATTTTGATATGTCTTCATTCGATCGCAAAAGTGATGAATATCCTCAATCCTTGTACCATCAAAAAGGTTCTTCCGGCAATGTTGGCTATTTCAAGGCTGCGTATGTCAAGATCAATTCCGATGAGCTGTTTTGGGATTTTCTTAAGGCATACAAGCATGTGATTCGTTCGAGGGTTCGCGTCAAACAGGTGAAAGATGATAGCGGCTATGAACCATGCGGTAAGGGTGCCATTGCTAAGGAAAAAGCCGTCAAATTCCATCTGTATTAGTTCGTGTTGGGATTTACTTTTCCCATCCTGCGTCTTCTCCAGGAGGTGATCCACTCCATGAAATATGTGCCTGCTCACTGTTCCCCAAACGTAGTTCGTGCGATGGTGGAATTCTCAAACTTGAGTAGGTTCTTTGATCTTGGCTTGACCACAAATGAATTCTGGTACTTTTTTGAGATTGGCCATAAGGAAGCTATGGGGCAGTTGAGGCCTCACCATAGGCTGCTTGATGCTTCTTGCAAAGGTGACCATGAGTAGGCGAAAGACAACTTGAAGGTGAGTGGCGAGAGACACTTGAGCTGCTGTCCCGACTACCTTTATCAGTGGTAAGTGAGCTACTTCATTCTTGTCTTGCTTGAATTTTTGTTGAGCTGCTCCATGACTTCAATTTATTAATCGTATTTCTTACTTTGCATAGATTTAGAAATTGGCTCAACTCCAAGGACTTCAGCAAATATGAAGAAAGTTCACATCGCCTTGGGCATTCTTGCTGAGTATCAGGAATGGTACTGGCTGCTCAGCCCTTTTTGTTGGGAGAAAGGTGGCTTGCCTTCGAAGGAAGAGATAAAGCAAATAAAAAATGAAACGTTGGCTCGTCCAATCACTATTGTAGAGCCTCTTACCAATGAGGGTGGAAAGAAGAGATCTTCATCACCTGGTTTTGAGCCTTTGGCTAAGAAAAAGCCAATGACTTACTAGTCATTGATCTAACTTCCCCCAAGGGGGTGAAGAAGACCGTTAAGCCTGAGCCTGTAAAACCTGCTATTTTAATGGTAACCATATCCATTGCTAAGAGACTTGCCCAACGAAAAGGTTCAGTAGCGCCCCTGGTGTTTAGGTTTATATCGAAGCGTCCGTCGGGAGCTAAGTATGGTTCGACGCCTGAGATGCTCGCCGCTATGAAGAACGAAAAGGTTGGCAGCTAAGGTGGGGCCTGGGCCTGTTGCTCCTTCTGTCGTGACTGACCCGTTTGTAAAGAAAGGGAAATCTGTTCACACGGGTAGTTGTGAGAAATCCATCGAGTTTGAGGCTAGAAAGTTTCCCGAGGTTTGTGTGCTGCTGAAAGCTGAACTGCTTGAGGACGTCGATGCATGTGCCAAGTTTGTTAACAACGTTGGGAAAGTCGTTATCCGCTCAGACTTTTTTGCAAGGCGTCTTGCTTACTCGATGAAGTTCTCCCTAATTGCCATAATGCATAAGATTTTGATCTTGGCAGCTGAGTCTATGCACGTTGATCATGATGTTGTCAAGTATGCCAAGGAGGCTGAAATGGCGTTAGTGGTTCAACTTCGCTCGGCTGCTGAAAAGATCGAGAAGCTCGAATCTGAACTCGCCACTTTGAAGAAGTCTGATGTCTTTGCCCCCATTTTTGTGTAGCTAGAGATCGCTCATCAAGAGGCCATCAACTTGAAGACTAGGCTTAGTACAACTCAAGTGTTGTTGGAGGATGCAGAGAATGAAGTCAGTCGTGTTTATCTAGTGGTCGAGGACCTTGAGCGTGTCAATTCGGTGCTACGATCCGCTTGTTTTGCCAAGGACGAAGAGCTTATCTTCATGGATGCTGAAGTGTCTCGTCGCAATGAGGTTGCTAGTAAGCTTGAGTCCAAGGAAGTGGATCAGCAACATGTGCTGTCTGCTAACGAGAACCTGAAAAAAGAACTGGATGAGCTGCATGGTGCTTACACTAGGCTTGTTGAAGAGAATGTGCAGCTGAAGAATGAGAAAGTTGGTCACGAAGTGGCGCTTGTTTCTTGTCAGGCCAATTTCTACAAGCTTGGCTATGTAGATCATCTTTAAGGCAAGCCATCGGATTATGAGTTTTCCTAGAAAGACTTCAAGACTTTCTCCATTTCTCCAGTTGATCTGCTTAATTTCTCGTTTGAAGCTGCCTTTGGTGGAGCAGCTGAGGGTCAGCTAGTTCAGGTAGGGATGGCTGAGGATGAGCTGATGGAAGCTTTAGCTACTAGGAACGATACGGCTGCTGAAGGTGTGGCAGTCAAGGAACCAGTGGTTGCACAGGTTACTAAGGAATTGCCTTTTTGCTTAGACTTAGGAATTTTCTTCGTTTCCTTTTTTGTTATGCTTTATTTGAACTTTGTTGGCCTTTGAGTCAGTTTATCAATTTGCTAGAAATTTAATAAACAACTTTTCTTGTTTTGGTTCATCCTTCTATTTCGCCGTGCTTTTTGCAAAACTTTATTCTTGGACGG